CTTACAAACATCGGACCAAAGTTATAATACCATTTCATGCTCATGAAGGTATAATAAAGCGAGTTTATAAAAACTTGGTGAAAATGAGTATGGTTCGACGATTCATCAGAGGATGGGAGCTTAGTGGAACTGGAAAGGGGAAAAAAAATTCATTTCATTTATGATGTATTTTTTAAATTTATTTTTGAGAAAATGATTTTATGTATTTTTTAATCTAATTCGTTTTGAACTTTTAGATTTTAATGTTTTAAAGAGAAAAACATTTCTCTAATTTAAGAACTTGTTTTACTTTTTTATTATTTTTAAACTTATTTTTCTATTTTTTAATATTTAATAATTTAATGTTTTTAATTTAATTTAATTTTTTGAACCTTATTTTATGTATGTTTTTGATTCCGTTTTTTTATAATTTAATTTTCTTATTATTTTTAGATTTTTATTTCATTTAATCTTTATTTTTTAATATGTTTTTTTAGTTAGTTATTTTTTTTTGTTATATCATTTAGTTTGTAGAAATTGACTTTATAAATTTGTTTAATAAATTGATTCTTGTATAGTAGAATAGTTTCTTTAATTTCATTTTATTTTTGAAACTTATTATATGTATATTCCTCTCAATGTTCCGCGAAGAAATTTGCGGCACATGGACATTTTTTATTTGCATTCCTCCAAGTCAACGTATGCTATGAATGCACCGATTTGTCGTGCCCTTAGAGAGATTAATAAACTCAATGATATCGAGGATATTGATATATCGCTTCCCGGAGTGGTGTTAAAAAAGTTAATCTTAAAACTACTCTGATCTTATAATGTAACCTATATATTAGCTTTAAGTTATTCCTTGTTACTTTTTTAGATAGCATAGTCAGTAAGAATGTTCTTTTCTTTGACCGAATTAAATAAATAAATGAATATTTCTTTATTAATGTTTTTCTTTTTTAATGAGTTTTCTCTTAATTTTTAGTTTTTACAGCTTTAAAATAAAAACTTTTTTTTATTTATATTTAATATTTCGTAACATATTTTTTTAATTATCGTTTTGTCTTTTTTAAATTATATTTTATTGAATTTTTAGTTTTTATTGTTTTAAAAAGAAAAATAGAAAACTTATTGCTAAAAAACAAACAGAATGAAGCTAAGACCTCCTCATTACCAGATTTTTCAAACAGTTTTTCGAAAGACAGAAAAGGGCTGTCAAGATACATAGTTGTTCGATTTGACAATTGTCTTACGACACACTTTTGTCTTTCGAAAGACTGTGGTGAGTTGAAAGACAATTGTCAG